AGATTCGGCATCCCTAAAATAATAGCAACTGACCGAGGAACTGAGTTTACTTCTGCCACCATGAAACAGGTGTGTAAATTATTAAACATTAATTATTTAATTATTAAAAATTATTTAATGGTTTACCTACAACTAAATTTGGCTAAATGTTGTATTATAACATATTCAAGAAAAAAAATTCAACATTCTTTCAGTTATTCAATGTTTGGTGTTAAATTGCGAAGGGTAACTGAGTTGTTCGATAAGCATATTGAAAAAATTACTTTAAAATCTTACCAGATGTTAGGCTTCATCTCAAGGCAAGGTACTGATTTTAGGAACCCTTATACACACATTATATGTACTTTATAATGCTTACGTTCGATCACATTTGGAATATGCATCGACTGCCTGGGATCCATGTTATGCTAAGTATATTCAAGCAATTGAAACAATTCAAAACAAATTTCTTAAAAAATTAAAATATAAGTTTGGTCACGATTTGCCTACTCTACTGTCCTTGAAAACTAGACGAAAATATAGAGACCAATTGTTTCTATTTAAAATTATTAACAGCCTTATAGATTCGCCTTATCTCCTCAATAAAATATTATTTAACTGTCCTCGCGTAAGTGCTCGGTACAAAGACACTTTCGCAACTCCAAATCATAAAACAAATTATTACAAAAACAGTTTTATAGTAAGATCGTGTAGCAACTATAACGATAAATATAACCACATAGACTTGTTCAGCAGCGGTCTCAGTAAGTTTAACTCGATACTTAAAAATACTTAAAAATAATTAGATTAAGTTTTGTTATTTACTTTTTTTCTTTTTCATTTCACGTGATATAAGTTTGGTTTGTATACATTTTTACACTTGTTAGTTTTTTTTTATTACCATACATTTAATTTTACTGTTTTATTTCGTTTATATATTTGTTCACTTCCAGATTAATTATTTGTGGAAACTGTATTGGCATGTGGGTTATTTAAGGTTTATAAGTTTTACATATAAAATATGCTGTTTGTTTCACTTTATTACAAATAAAATAAAATAAATAAAATTACATCAACAGCATACCATCATCAGTTAATAGGTTCGTTAGAAATGCTCATAAAAAATTAGGCGCATTTTTACGAATTTAGTGCGACAAAAACAAGGAATCTTGGTCTTATTGGTTACCATACTGGAGTTTTATTTAATAACAGATACAAATATAGAAACTAATCCAAAGAAAAAAAAATATAACTATATCGGCTGAGACTGATAGTGACGATGAGACTGACATAAGCTTAAGAGAAAGTTCTTGTTCTCCTTTCGACGAGAGACGAAGATCCAGTTGTGACCGAAAACATTAAAGAAGAAAGATTTTTGTTGGTGAAGTTTGAAAAAAAGAAGACTGTTTTACATTATATTGGGCAGGTGAAAACAAAATATAGCCCTACTGAATACAAAGTTTCATTTATGAGAAAGAAGCCGGGCACCTGGAAATTTGTTTTACCTACGAAGGAACTGTTTATTTATCAGACGTGCTCTGTGTATTGCCTCCGCCTAAATCAGCTTCTACAGCAAGAACAGCTGATATAATTAGTTTTGCGAAAGTTGTTACCATGTATAATGTGCAATAAATAACAGATTTGTTATGTTTTTTTAATAAGTTACCCTAATGGTTAAGTAAAATGTTGATTTTATGTCTAAGATTTAACAAAGTTGATTGTAAATGACTGTATTGTTAATTATAACTACATTTAGAGTCCATTTTGTGTTAATTTGATCTCAATAAATAGATAAGTTCATATAAAAAGGTTTTTTATATACTATGTATGAATGCTCCCCGCTATGTACGAATGCACCTTTCCCTATGTACGAAGCTACCACGGGTGTTTGATAGCTTCGTACGTTTTCCATATTTTAGAAATAGTGCCGTTGCTTTATAATAGTACTTGATACCAGTTTTTGACTTTACTATAACTATAGCCAAATATATAGGGTATACAATAGCATTAAAATGATTTTGCAATAACGAAAAACTTTTCTGTTATAAAGCTAAAAGTAAAAAGTGTACGAATCCTACCTGCTTTCCCCTACCGAAAACATAAATTTGGACATTAATCGTCTCGAAAAAGATATTAATGCTACAACAGTCTTGGTATCAACATTGGCGGATCAGCTGCGTCTTAAAGAACAAGATGGAAGAAAAATAACCTTGAAATCTCTGGTATACCGATGTCACACAATGAAAACCAAAGAACACGAATTCCACAAGTTTTCACAAACAAGAGAACACATAAAAAAATGGTCTAACAGAATATAATTCGGTTTCGAATCCCCGTGGAGCTCTCCTATTTGGGTAGTTCCTAAAAAGGCTGATGCTTCCTGTAAAACTAAATCTGTCTGGTTTATTTGGATGACGTCGTCATATTTAGTACATCTTAACAGGAACATATGATTAACTTTCGCGTGAATCTAACATTAAGACCCAGATGGATAAATAGGAGTTTTTAAAATTAGAGACAGAGTTCTTAGTAACTACATATAATATGTAAGGATGGAGTGAAACAAAATTCAAATAAAATTAATGTCATAAATAACTGTACATTGCCTACGACAATTACTGAAATTAAAAGATTTCTTGTCCTCTTAGCCTACATTATCAAGCCGTGAAACTTGTACGAGTACTTGCACGATTCACAAAAACATGGACCTTCAACTAGCTGCTCTAAAGAAGGAAAATACGCTTACAACAGTGAGTAATCATCAAAATATGTTGGAACTGCTTTGTTGTGATCGATATTCTGAAAGATGTCTAGAGAGAACAAGTGATAACTATTGCTCAAAAACTCTGACTTATACAGAAATCAATAATTCAAAACCAATATTAATAAAACAGTGGGTGAGTAAGAAAGAGTCCATAATACATCTGAAAACGAAGAAAGAACGATTTGTGACGAAATGTAAAATAGAAACACAGGAAATGTCACCTAGAAATGTCATTACAAAACTAGAAAATGATATGGTTAAATTTTTCGGGCATTCTTTTAACATATTACATCAGTACAATGCCATTAAGCAATTGAAAGAGTCTTTATCTGAAACCGATGTCATTGTACATATGGATTTTATACGAAAATTTTTGTAGGGGCCACTTGTAAACGAGCAGCAGACCAAGTGATTGCTACAGGAGGAGATATAACCTGAATGAGTTCGCTACTGTCATTAGTGAAAGATGCCAGGGTATAAAAATGGATGTGATCATTAATAATAAGTCGTCCGAAATGGTTGCTTTTAAGGGGACATTATTGGTGCATCATTACTGGCACAGCTTATATTCCCAACAATCTTATAATTAAGTAAAATTACCTCAAAATAATATTAAAGTCAAGTAATATAACATTATAAAAATCTCAAAAGGCTGTTATGAATACTGGGATAGTTGACTTTCATAGTATTATATTGTTATTGTTCTTAATTTCATGATAATAGTACTTTTAAGATAAATATTGTTAGATTTTTGTTTCTATTGTTTTTTGATTACTTAGAAATGTTAAGACCCAGTTTCACGTATCAATGTTAAATAAGTAACTTTTTGTTTTTGTTAGTTGACTGAAGCGTCTTATTTTATTTTTGTTCATTTAAGTAACTGCATGCTACTTTAGTTTTACGGAGTTTACTGTTTTATTTAATTACCCTTAAATTTCAATAATATAATTTCTTAGCTAATAATGTTTCCTTTTTAATGTGAGCTCCTTATACTCTGCCCATTAGTGTATTTTTCAAAGTGGTTTTTGTATTCGAAACACTTCATTTAAGACAAAATGCCGCTCAGTATAAAAAATACATTTGGGAAATATTGAAAAAAATACAGGACGTAACGTTGATACACATACAAATATTAAGTGGCTCAAATATTATGAAGCTGCTCATTTTGTATTTTAAGTAACTCATATTAATGTTTGTAAAATATTATTCTGTTGATTTTCCGTCACTAACAGTCAGTCGATCACTTAGTAATTATGTAACCCAAATTAATTTATTTTGACACTTAAAATTGTAATTTACAGTCACTCGTTATATTACTACTTTATAATTTATAAGCGGCGTAGTATTTACGGTAGTAATAGAGTATAAGATACAGGAACTCGAGAGTATTATAACATGACACAATTAGATGCATATTATGTAATTAATGAAATAATTCAATATCGGTCGGTTGCGAGCCTCTGACATCTATATATCAGAGGCTCATTGCCGATATGTACCTATATGCAGAGCAGTGCTTGTACCTAGGTAGCTTCAATCACGAAAATAACGAACATGAAGTCGAACAAAGAACACAACTAACATGGAATAATTACTGGAACCTAAAAGAAATATTCAAAAGCAGCTCACCAACCAATATGAAAACGAAGGTCGTGATCGTGCCTCTTACCCTACTTAACATACGCCTGCCAAACGTCGAAATATACCATTAGCGTTAAAAGTATATTAGTAAAATGTCAACGAGGCATGGAGCATAGCATGCTACATCAAAAAAATCCAAAGAATACGTCACACAATAAAAAGAGTGACAACAAAGGCTAAAGATGGACTAGTACAAGCGGACTCTAAAATGGAAATGGGCTGATCATGTAGCACGCTTGCAAGACCAAAATAGTTGATAAAAGGAGAAGAGGAAGACCCTGCGCAAAATAGGAAGATGACGTAAAGTCGCCGTAGATTGATTTCAGATAGCACGTGGCACGTGGTCGTCGATCCAGGACAGCTGGCGAGTACCTGATACCACTCTTAAATTAAACATCTCAAGACAAACCCCCTGACACCTTTTGTTCCCTCGGGAGACCACCCTATAAGGAGATACAGGCATTTCCCTGGAGAACCTTCCCGGGGGCATAACTCACTAAAGGGTGGAAATAACCCTATCTAGTTTGGTATCGGCAGAAACGTGACATCGAGATCTACACGTTTATAAACACCAAATTAACATCCCGTGCACTCATCGCCCAAAAAACCAACAAAAATGGCCGATCAATCCCAAGAGCAAAAGTTGGCGCCAACAACTGCGCCATCCACCTCAACCAGTCAAAAACCGGCAAGGAAACCTGTTATTAAGACTGTTAAACAAACATCTACCAAAACAGCAGTAACACCAACAAAACAGAGGACTTTAAGGCAGAAAAAAAAAGACGTTGGGCAGCAAGACCTCCATGCGCTTCGACATGAAGCTCAAGGGGATGCATCACCTACAGAAACAGAAGCCCGTGGGGGTCCGGACCTATAACTGTACCAAATACGACATCAGATTTAATTTTAAACACCCCATCACACACAAGGCTACGTCAAAGACATTTTATCATCAGCAGATTTTCGTCAGGAGGTTGCAGTGACCCTATGGAAAATGGGTACAAAGTCTGGTATGTCTGGCCGGCGTTCGCTGGAGACCAAGATTCAAGCCAAAAGGCACAAAGGACCTGCACAATACGTACCTCCAAGACCAGATAGGCCACTGGCCACAATTGTCTGGAAAAAAAATGAGGTGCAAGCTTTCAAAGTGCGTTGGATTTACGTATAACATGTGTGAGAAATGTGGGGTAGCACTGTGTTATAACAAAACTAAGAATTGTTTTAGAAATTTTCACTTATCATAATTTTTTCAGAAATAGGTTTCTAATACATAGTTTTATGTTTTTTTAGTCTTATGGTCCAGTCTTGCTTTAAAGCAACACTCCCCTTTTCAAAAATTATCTTCTAAACTATTTTAATAAATAAAAATACTGAAACACGTGTATTTTATTTTGCCGTTTTAAACCCGGATCTAATTTTTATTTTAAAATCCACGTTCTTGAGTGATAGAGGGTTAAGAACAGTCCAATCCAGAACACTCAATTCTGTCGATTATGGATCCACACAAAATTAAAATCATTCAATGCAATCTAGACAGGTCCAAACACTCTATTAAAGGGTTCATTACATGCATTATTAGCCTACAGTAGCTCCAAAGTGGAAGAAGAATTATAGGACGAACATACCCGGTGAGTTTACAGAAGACGTGGGAAAAACGGATCAAGTACTACTGATGGAGAATGTTACGCCTCTTTCACTATTTCACCTTTTTTGGACAGAGCATTTACAGGACATTTTATGTTTTCAAAATAACCTTTACGCTACTCAATCTGGAAAGCCTTTTACTACCACAACTGAGGAGCTTGATGCTTTCATTGCTTTGAACTTTGTGATGGGTATAAAAAAATTGCCGAGCTACAGAGATTACTGGTCTTCAGCACCTGATTTACATGACAGTTATGTGTCAAAGATCATGAGCTTCAACCGATTTAGTTAGTTGGCTTTTGAATAACTTGCACGTAAATGACAATAGTGTAATTCCCCACAGAAACAGCCCAGACTTTGACAAACTTTATAAAATAAGACCTTTACTTGACATTCTGCGAAAAACATTTCAACAATATTACAAGTTACTGTAAAAAGAACAAAATAGAGAATATTATTATTTTGATAATGATATTGATGTTTTAGAAAAATAATAAGTTTTTTGTGTTTTTTAAATAGTATTTTAGTTAACTTGTTTCTTGTTACTGTTGTGTTATTGAATAAATCTTGAAGCTAATCCAGATAAAAAAAATATTTTATTATACTTTAATTGAAAGGTAACATAATATTTTACATTCGAATTTCACATTATAAATAAAAAAATTGCATTTTTTGCCTGTATCAGGAGGCGAAGAAATCAATAAAGAAGGAAACTATGAATTTAGAGAAACTAAAAGTAACCAAAAAGCATCAAAAAAATATAGGAAAAAGAAAAAGAAGCTTTTCAAGCTTTGGTAGCTACAAAACCTGGAGCAGAATCGATAATAACTTTACACAAACATCTTGGTCGCCCACGGCTGGAAAATGAAGACAATTTAATAAAAACTATTACCGAAATCGTAATGTATGGAAGTTCAGTGGATGAGAAACGTAGAAGAGATATTATTCTTTCTTACGGTGCAACGGACATATGAGACACTAAAGCCGATCATCTATAAGGACCTAGCAACCTGTACACATGTCTTCGTGAGAAATGACACAGTTCGAGCACCCCTCACTGGGAAGTACGATGGACCCTACGAAGTTTTAAAGAGATATGAAAAAATATTTCAAGATAAAAACGCCTCTTCGCACTACTGTGGTATAGCTGGGCAGGCTCAAGCCCGCCTTCATATGCAGTGACATGACAGTGACTTCAGGAGTGATGAATACAGCGAGAGGAGTTTCATCGAAGTGGTCAGACTGCCGAGGCGAGCGAAGAAATCGCCATATATTTATAACCTCCGATTGAGACGTCCGATCGTGCTATCTCTCTCTAAACTAATCTGTACTGGAAAAATCGTCACTATAGCAACAACAGCAACCAGTCGACAGATCGAGGATTACAACATCAAGATGGCAATCAAATCGAGGGACTTCAATACCATCAAAAATATAACGTCTTACTATACGAACGTAAACGATAATCGCTTCTCAGGCCAACATGACGTTACAGTTATAGAGTACATGACATCGCACCATCATCACCGCAGATGGCAGTCGCCTCAGCATCCAGATTGGAGTCGGCGATGGACATGATGGCTCGAGTTAACGAAACAGGTCAGCGAGCTCACCACAAGACACCATCGCCCGCGTTCCAGAAGCCGACAGATGCCACATCAGAAGTCTCGATCGACTTCTAGAAGATCAATTACAAACTACAAGAAGTTTCCTGTGTGCTGGTATCATTACAAATTTGGCAACCTCGCGAAAAAGTGCATACCCCCATGTGACTATGATTCGGGAAAAGTAAGCGGCGGTCGGTAATGGCGACGTCCGATTGCCCTTCCACCACTGGTCGCCTGTTCCTCACCGATCGTGGTTCCAGGATGCAATTTCTCATCGATACGGGAATTGATTTAAGTGTTTTCCCCCGAGCTGCGCTTCGTCAACCACGTGTGCGAACTGACTATCAATTGTGTTCGGCGAATGCGTATTCGCTTGACTAAGTGGGCCTGCGATTGACTTACAGAACATGTCGATTTTTGCCAAAAAAAAAAACATATTTTCAGATAAAGCTTTTTTAATCTTGGCGGGTATGTAAACAAGCAAAATTGACGCATTTGGGACACAGAAAAGGGAAAACCAACACGCATACATTGAAAAGCCGACGCCTCCAAAACAGTCACTGTTTGGTGCGGATTTCTGTCCGGAGGCATAGTTGGGCTATTTTTCTTCAAAAATTACCAAGAAGTGGCCTCTACAGTCAATAGCGATCGTTATCGGGACATATTGAGCGAAATTTTGTTCACAAAAATTGTAGAGGAGGATATTGGCAACATTTGGTTTCAAAAGGACGGCGCTACGTGCCACACATCCAAAGCTGCACTCGGTATTTTGAAATCGGAACTGCAATCTCGGGGACTCCTAACACAAGATAATTCCATTTCTTAAAAGGAGCTCCCTAGTTGAATCTATTTGTTTCTAGGTATAAGTTAAAGTAATAAACAAATTTTTATTTTTTTTATTTTAATTTGACACCGTTGGACTATCGTGAGTGAGGTGCCGTCAAAGATAAGTGTTACTATAACTTGCCAGAGTAAATTGACGCTTCAAAGGACAATATTCGTGAAGACATTCGTGAAATACAGCAACACACAATCGATAATATGCTTAAAAATTAGACCGATCGAGTATGCTACTGCATGGCCAGCCGAGGGAGCCATTTGAATAATTTATTTTTGATTAACAATCGGAAGAATTGTTTTTTGGATACCATTGGAGCCAATTTATTTTATTTTCCCCAGTGCTCTTACTTTCCTAACGACGCCATTCTAGCGATGTGTTGAACCTTAGCACAATACTCAATCATAAAATAAAATCTTTTCCTATAAGTTCAAACTTAAAAACAACGTAACGACATTATTATAGAAAAAAAGAATACATAAGAGAGTGAATGCATTCTAAGAGATTATGAGAAAAGATGTAGATGTTTCCATCAGCTACTGTTTTGCCTTCCAAAAAATTTTACCTCTGCCGAAAACATCTGTGTGGGTGTGCTATTTAAGACAAATCAGATTTTACAACTTGTGTACTGTGAATTTGAAAGGATTAAACCCAAAATTTTACTAGTCAGAACAACAAGATGGAAAGGAAGTATGGAAATATCATTCCACATCTGACTTCCAATCACACGGACTTTTAGGACTGTTTGTTGATAAAAATAGAAATAATATTATAGTACATATGTACTATTTTTCACTTTATGCAAACTCATATAACGTCACCCACAGAAATTCATATGCACTTTCTGACCTGTTTACATTCACCTCTACCAGCAAATAATTCTAAAATATTCACTTTTTAACCTATTGCTGTATTTAAATTATACTGTATCCACGGATTCGTGGCTTTATTTCCAAAGTATCCAACCCTACACTTCAGACTATTCGATAGAATCTTCAGCCGAGCTGAAAAAGTATTAAGACATAAGCAGACTCCTATTGAAAAAGTGAAATACATAGAGATCAGAAAGAACTATGGCAATTGTAAGTGCTAAGTCATGAGTGATAACTTAAATCCTTGGTGGATTTAAAAGGGTACAGGTAAGGTCTAAAAGTAAAAGAAATATCAAGAATTATTTTTCAGTCAGCGAGGTTAAGGGTACGAAGAACTTTTACTATGTCCAAGACAAATTCTGTCAGACTCTGAACAAAGAATCATTTACCATCACTATTTTAAGCACAATGATACCACAGATATTGCCTCTAAGAAGATCCTTAACTGATGAAAAGGAGTACACAAATTACTGTATACTACTTTTGGAAACTAACTAAAGTTAGACGACAACCTTTTCAAATATACAAGATACTTCTTTTCAATACTTGTACTATTTCCGAGTAAAATAATTGATGCGAAAAATGAAAGAATACCTAGATCAAGAAAACTGTGTTAGAATTTAGTTAATTTAGTTATTAACTAGTGTAATGCTAAAATAGAATTGTCCAAAATTCTTTCTTGTGTTCGTTGGTACCTATATAATGTTTGTTATAAATAATAATTGAACCAAAATTATAATATCAATAAATATAACATTTTAAAAAATCATGCTGACCATTAAAAATATGTTACTTATTCTCGATACAAAAAAAATTGATAATAAACAAGCTAAATTCATGTGATACCTAGTTTAAATAATTTTTTCAGTTACATCCAATTCACATTTAAGCATGAAATAATTCACAAATTACAATACAAATTAGTCACAATAAAGTAAGTTTATTTTCTACAATCTATAATTAAAGGACAATCATCTTATGTAAGTCATTTCCTCCAGTATTGGAATTCAAGAATAGTAGATCTGGACTTATAATGCTTACAAGGACCCTTTTACAATATAATATTTGAGGTAACGTTTAATCATGATTCTCAATGTTTATCGTTTATTATAGTAATGCCCCACAAAAAGGTTGAAGCCGCTATTTATAGTTTACAAATACAAGTTGATACAAACATTGCAATTACAATATTAAGAGGAATTCGAAATTATAATTACTTACAAATAATTACAAATATTGATTTCGAAATAATTAATAACTATTTATATTACTACTACATAGGTATATTATTTTATTATAATTTAGTATCATGTTACCACAATTTCATCCCAGCAATATCCACAGGTACAGTAATTAATAATTAATAATTCTAAAGATTACAGTATCTAACTAAGTACAACAATAGTTAACTATTCAAAACCTTGAGTAAGTACATATAAATTTGTTAAAAAACAGTTTCAATATAGATGGTTAATTTTTTACTAGACATTACTTACTAATACTACTAATACTAGATACTAAATTACTGGCTTTAGTAATTTAACAAGATACAATAATAGTAAAATACAAAGAATTTAAACTAGTTTTTAACACTTCTGAAATCTTTTACGCACCCACCCATGGCACATGGCACGCATGGCACCCATCACAACAACCTAGGAAAACCAGAAAAGACCAAAAATGAAATACATTTAATAGAAGAACTCATATTTTATATTTCGCAAATTTACTGTTATTTAAGAAATAAATAATCTTAACTTCTTTTACCTGTATTCGTTCTAAGACTTAAACATAACGGTCTTATTACATCTTCTTCTTCTCCCTGGCAATTTCCCAGCTTTAGCCAGGGTCTGCCTTCCTACTTAAACGCCTCCACTTTGCACGGTCTTTAGCATCCTCGGTGGTTAGTCCGTTGGCTCTCATGTCCTGCTTCACGGTATTAAGCCAATATTATTAACGGTCTTATTACATAAAATTGAGTAAATATTACTATCCACTAGCCTCTTAACCAAAATAATCACATATTATAATTTAATTTTGAATTTCAGGGAACCATGTTCTTACACGCGACTCAGCAATTAAGTCAACTTATTATTTTTCCGTTTTCAAAGCATATGTTTAACTTTTTCCACCATTAATATAACAAATACATATATACCTTTTAATGCTTTGGCTTATTTGCACTGGAATCGTGGCATATTTTGGAAATATCAACATTTTGATTCGTCGTTTGAAATTGAAAGCTTACGCTTTACGTAGTAAACTTGTAAGGCCAATAACTGTAGATAATACAAGCTTCTTGTACACTTTACAGATAATAAAGAGTACCGTTTCATTACCTTTACTTTTATTGAAATTATTATTTAAAGTAATTGTATTTATTTATTGTATTAATTATTTTGCTTTTATTAAATATATAAATAAATTATTATTACACCTTGTCATATATTATTTCCCACCGGTTATTGAGTCTAAGGCGGGAATTGAAACGTTGACGCGGGCTTTTTGAAAATTTTAATTATTTTAAATAGTTTTATACTATAAATTGCAATTTTTTGTTTAGTTTATTTTAAAGAAGTAAAACTTAGTCTGTATATAAGTGTTTATGTGGAGAGATGGTGAAAAAACGTAAAATGAAGGATTCGGGTGAGTCCTTGCCTTTCAGCACAAGCAGCGATTCCGATTGCGAGGATTCGCCAGTATTGCAGGATGCAAATGCCTTCGCTCCCTTTAGGGTCGCTGATTATTGTCGGCGATACCCTGAAGATGCGGAAGCCAAGTCTGAATTCATAGTGTTTGTCGAAAGTACTAATGATGTCCCACTCGGTAATAGGGACATGATGTCGCTTAGTACTAGTTTTATAC